TAATATATATACATATATATATATGTGTGTGTGTGTGTGTTGTGTTTGTAAATAAAAGGAATTTGAACATTTAATTTGAATAATTCCATGTTTAATATTTTAAAAATTTCGCACTTAATATATTAATGTTTGTAACAAATCTGTCGACAAACTATATTCAAATTCTTTAAAAGTTATTTTTAGTTCAAAGATGTATATCACCTACATAGTTATAAGTTGGAAATAATTGAAAGTTAAAAAGCCTCTCCACGACACACTAAGTTTGGGGTCCCAAATTTTTTTCTGCTTAGGCCCTTTCTTGACTTAATTCGCCACTGTCTTGTGTAATACCTTGTCAAACGCCTTTTCAAAATCGGTATAAATTATATCAATTTTGCCACCTTAAGGAAAAACTTCTAATATAAATTCAATTGTTTTTCTTAACTTAATAAATTTCGATGATCATTTAGTTTTAAGTAATTTCTGCCCATTTTTGGTTTAATTTAATTTGTATTCATTGGCTTGCTATACGATTTTATTTTCATTTATGTTGTTATTTTCATGTTGGTATGTTTTTATTTGGTTTGGGTGGCCGTACAAGCTTGTTTGAGCTTATGTGTCTCCATGCTTTTTGCTGAATAAAATTGAATTGAATTTCAAATGAACGTTGTTAGTAAAGCGATGCAGGCCAAGGATCTGGTACAGTGCACTGAAATGCCTAAAATTGTATTAAGTATTTTGAAAATTATAGAGTGTTTGGCTTTAAACAAGTAATGGTTGGTGCTAAAGAATTAGCTGAAAACTTAAACTTCGAGCCTATATTCAGACCAATCAAGAGGGTGGGACGAGTAAAACGTCATTTCGATAAAAATGCTCCTGACGAACCAATCCAAGATCCAGAAAAGCAACTTGAAGTGGAATTTTTAACCTCTGTTTAGCCATAAGTTTGTCATCAATTAAAGAACGATTTGAACAACTGGATGAATATGTAAATATATGGGTTTTTTTATTAAGTTTGGATAATTTGCCCATCAAGTACGATTTTTTGAAATTGGGTAGAGAATTGCAAAAAAATTAATCGTTTGTTCAAAGTATGATTTTGATGGTGCCTTTGCAATGTGATAAACTAAAAAATGTTCAGTTTTTTTTTGTTAAAGATAAAATAGGTAGAGTGGAACTTGAAAAAGTAGAAAAAATTACACCCTTCACTTTATTGAATTTGATTAAAAAACATTTTTACAATAGCTATATCCAAATACATGGATTGTTCTGCGCATTCTTCTTACAATGCCTGTAACTGTTGTAAGTGGGGGAACGTAGCAAAACTAAGTTGCAAGATCGACTTAAATTTTTAGCCAGGTTATCAGTCGAGCAAAAAATAGCAGAAAATTTAGAATTTTTCAAAGATGATAACAGATTTTGCCGATAAAAAGCTAGAAGAATTACATTTTAATATCTTTAACCAATGTTTTGCAGATTTAATTAGAAGAATTTGTTACTTGTAATAAAACCGTCTGCTTTAAAATTCATCTAGCTGTGTTCATTGTTCATTTATATACTTATTTTTAATAAAACATTTTTAAAAAATTCTGATTAATTAGATTGAAGATTATTTAAAAATCTCTTTAACATATATTTACAATTTTTGCATTTGGCCTCGTTTGTACTCGTTCTTTAATGTTAAGCTATTAACCTTTCGTTGGAAACATCAATAACACATAGGAGCGAGTCTTCAAGTTTTACCCGACCTGTCAAAAAAGCCGGCGTGGTGATAGCCTGGTGGTTGAGGTCGCAGTGATCGGGTTTGAATATGACAAAAGAATCCCTGTCTATCGCATGCATTGTGTGTGGTGCGTTGTTAAGCATAGATGCTGTCTGTTGATGATTTCTCTGAATTTTGGAAATGTGTAATCGACCATTAACCATTACGATTGACAGGTTGTATAAAGTACAATAACAGTCTGTAAAGTTCTTGGCACAGTCTTCTCAGCTCGATAGGATTAGCCAAAATATATTTGAATAATAATCAAACAGTGTTTATATTTTGATTCCAAATTAGAAACTGATAAATAATTTAAAAACAGTACTTTAAAAAGAAAAAGCAATACTATCAGAACTTTTTCATTAATTTTGTCTTTATATGTTGAAAATTTTGCATGGGAGCAACTTAAATTTTGAATTGACATATTTCATTATTTTTTCACCTTTATTGGTCAAAAAACATGTTTACGTCAAGGCATGGCGAAGTTAATATTTACTAATCTCATTTTGTAATGTCCTGGTTTAGCCGTTTTTTTGAATGAACGAGTTGTTAGGTCCAGAAAACAAGATTAAATATAGATAAATTTTAAATAAATGTATATAATAAAAGTAGAGACTCTTAATTATTTAATGTAGGCTCTATGTGTAGGTATATAGACTATTTGCTACAACTTGTTGCATTCTTATCAACAGGGTAGTGGAAGATTATGATTGGGTCGACATTGTCTAACCGAAAAGGCGTTTAACAAAATTTCTTACAAAACTGTTTGACCAATTGCACATCAGAGGTAAAGCAGAATGAACATTGCGCTGATTTTAATTGGTTGTCATTGGATTTTTCCCCTCTTATTTTTAATATAATTTCACGACCGCAAGCAAGTTTTAATCAATTTATCAAATTCGGGCACTTACATATAAATAAATTGCTGAAACAAAATATTTTTGCTAAAATGCCAACTGCAGTTTCCATTATTTGTTATGTACTTAATGTTATTTAGTTTTACAGTTTTAATTTTGTTATTTTGAGACCGATTTAATTAAGATGTGTTTCTTTTTTGATTTCGATTTGTATTAATGTACAAATAAATTATTTATAATAATAATTTATAAAATAATTTTTTTTAGATTTTTGTCCCACTAAAACATTGTGGTGACGTATTTGTTCCATCGTCTGGATGGATTTCACCAAATCCTTTTCAATTTTTTGATCATAATTATCATTTTAGTAGAGTTAAATGCTTACTGCAAAATTTCGTTTTATTGTATGTACTATATACCTCATAGAACTGTGTTATATACTCTGTTTTTTGTTTTCTATTTCATAATTTTCAAAACTGTTTTAAACTGTTTATCGAACTGCTGTATATTTTGTGTGATTTGGTTACGATATACAGTTTCTATTCTAGTTTCTATTCAGTTTCTTCACGGGAAGCACCCGTTTTATAGTCAAAGGCCCACGCTGTAAACGCAAAAACTACATAGGCATTACACTTCTGTCAATTGAAGGTAATTTATGGATTGGACTAGACCACGTATTCCCCCAAGACAGTCCTTGATCTGCTCAGTGAAAAAGGATCTGTCACTCATTATCATTGGTCACTACTCGGTCTAGAGGCACGGTCATAATTGCACAAAACTAAGTCTACCGCGAACTCGGTACCGTTCGTTATGGGCGCTAATGATAATGAAGGCTAAAACAAACGACATTACATTGTTAAAAAAACTCGATTCCGGTGAGACAGGGTGTACTAGCCAATCATATCTGCAGTAGAAGGTCGGACAATTCTCACGAATATATTATTATTGAGATGTTTATACAGCGCTAATGAAATGAATCTCAAAAGCGCTATCTAATAGAAATTGAACCTAATACCATCACTGAAATAACAAATCATAATGCATTATACAAAAATAAAATTTAAATGTTGTCATGGACAGAAAATCGCAAAGATAAAAAAAATATATGTATGTATATATACACATATATAATTCACTAACATAGACTGATATGCCAAATCTTGACAGATATAATAGGAACACATAAATATGAAATGAATAATTTAAATCAATGAAGGTTTAAACATTGTTTTTTTCATAGTGGTATTGCCTCGTCGCATTTTATTCTTACCTTTATAAAACTTACTGGAAGAGCAGCAATGATTGTAGAAAGATAGTAAGATGACGCAAACGTTTCCAGTGACGGATTTAGAGAAAGGCTAGGGGTCCTCCGTTCCGAGCAATATTAAGTAAAAATAGTACCCAAAATTGGCTTGATTAATGAGCAAAATTGTTACCAGTGAACCAACGAAAAATGAAAAGTTTGAAACGCTTCACCCCAGCTACTTTGATATTCTATGTAATAAGAAACCAGTGTCAAAACAGGTTAAAGTAGTCAAATACATTATTGAAAATGTAGCTATTATTGAAAATGTAGTTATTATTGAAAATGTAGTTATTATTGAAAATGTAGTTATTATTGAAAATGTAGTTATTATTGAAAATGTAGTTATTATTGAAAATGTAGTTATTATTGAAAATGTAGTTATTATTGAAAATGTAGTAAAAAGCAACTGCACTATCTAACTCGTGAATTACAAGTGATTATATAACGCATAGATAATTTGGATAAAATACAAGTCAAAGATACAGGGGACAGTTTTTCGCCAAAACCATTGAAAACAAAATCAACAAAACCACGTAACTTTTCTAACAAACGCTTGCAACCATAATTAGTTCCACGAACGAATAATTATTTCAACAAAAACAATACAGATTCTTTAAAGCAATATTGAAAAACTATTATAAAATAAAACCACCGATTCTCTTTTAGTAGTCGCTTTTAGAGCAAATTTTAAAAAAGGCTAACGAACGCGTAAGAAGGGATATCGAAACAACACTATCACGGAACGCAGTTGAAATTTCTACCGAGACGCTCTTTAAAATTTAGTTACACAAGATTTTGAAAAATTTCGACGACCGGGGAAATTTTCTAAAAAGTTGACGACTAGGAGGAGGGGGATTTTCAAAAGTCGATGAAAGGCTGGTGAGAATTTTCACAAATGTTTTCAAAAATTTTTTTGTGCTCATGAGGGGACCCAATTTTTTTGCTAATGAGCTTATGCCGTTACAGATTCGCCTCTAGATTCGCCACAGATACGCACAAATTCAAAACATCAACATGCAACATCTTAGAAAATTACTTCTTTATTGAAATCTATATTCAAACATATGCTGTGCTTAAACAAAAAATCTAAAAATGATTAAGGGATCGCAACTTGTGTTGATATTTTTTTTTCTAAATCTGTTATTTTCAATAATAATTCGGCAACTACAACATTTTTTAGCTTCAATTGTTTATCCCATTCCTCCTTTACACGTTTGTTGTGCCTTCTTAACTGGGAGTTGCTTATATTTAAAGCTTTGATAGTGTTGAAAAATTTCTTTTCTATGTCAGATTTTGATGCTTTTTCCTGTTTCAACTTTCGATATCTGCATTTCCATAGGTGAGCTGATAATTTTCCTCTCATCGAGCTTCGCTGCAAGATCAGATTTGTTCTTTTCAGTTCAGAATTTTTTTCTTTACATTCCTTATAAGCATTTTTAAAAAATTTCGTTCGTTTTCTAGATGATTTCAATGAATTTTTCCTACTCAAGCAATAAATACACTCCTGCCCATATGTACGCAACTTGGATCCATCACCATCTTCAATAGTTCTCAGAACATGACCAGATGTCAACATATCATCAATTTTTATATCTTCTGAAGAAATATTGTTTTTTCCAGAGTTGACTTCCGCCTTTTCAACGTTGACTTTGGTATTATTCTCAGAATCAGTTATACCATTTTCTAGTAAGAGGCAGTCCTCAACTTTCATGGGCTGAATGTTGAAAGGCGAGTTCAAAAAATTTACTACTTTCGTCCAATATTTTGTGAAATTTAATTTGAAGTTCGATATTGTAGAATTAACCATCTTAATTTTAGTCAAAAGGGTCCATTCCTTTGCTTTAAAAACAAATGACCTAGATTGCAGTTCTCGATGTGTCATAATTGCACTACTCTTATTGGTTTTGAGATTTTTTGATTTAAGAAATGTATAATATATGTGTCCATTTAAAAGTGGCAATCTGCACTCTGAAAAGTTTTCTTCAAGGTAGGTCCTGAAGTCTTGAGCGGTTTTGTGTTCCATTTTTATTACATCACAATTATAACCAAATGAGAGCAGAGGTCAAAAGATGTAGGACCTGTTAAGTGAAATAATAAATTTAGCATGAAAACATGAACCAATCTTTGTAAATTAAAAATACAACAATATAACTCAAACAACTTAATCAAAAGTTTTTTCCCAATAATTTAAAAAACCCACATATAGGTCACGTTTGTTGCACAACTAACTTCTTTTCTCTATTAAGTTCTTCAGTTTAATTACCTTACAAAAATTTTTATCTATAAGATTCTATGTTAAATGCCAACAGTGATTTTGGATTTTTAGCTCATTCCTGGCAATTACCCTTTTTTCGTTCCTAGTTTATTTCACAATTTTTATTCGATTCTATTCAATATTTTCTTTATGTATTATTTATTAATTATATATTTTGTTAGTATTCTTCAGAAATTCAAATTCTTACATATATGCAGAAGTGAGCGCAACATGCAGACACAAAAATAGAAATACAATAAAAAGATTTAAATGATAGTATGGGAAAACTGAAAATGCAAAATAGAAGCAACAGAAAATGATTTGCAAAAAAGGCAGACTATTGTTAAGCACTACAAATTATCTATCGATTGAGTAACATCACCTCTCAAGACAGTAGCATTCTTTAAGCAAACGATTCTATTGCAAAATTTGTGTGCTTTTGCGGAATCGGATACTTCGACTCCGAAGAATGTTGAATAATAAAATATTTTTATATTTTGAAACTTTTATAAATCATGTTTTTTTTTAAGATAAATAGACGTAGCAATATGCAATCATCTTTAATACTGAAAATATAATATATGTTAATGTGAATAAAGTAACTTAATTTTCATCAGTATGTTTTAAAACATGAAGATTAAGTAACTTTACAAAGAAAAACAATTACATTGACTGATTTTCAGTGTTTTCCAAGGTATTTTTTATTTAGAAGTGATAACGTAAAACAATGATGCAAAAGTTGAAAAATACTTCTGGGAATCAGAACTCAAAGTCGAGGATTTATAACCAGAGTCAGATATTTTTCATCTGACTTCAATCCTCTGCTAACAATGCTCCTGATCCAGATTTTTTATATATATTACAAAACTGACAACAGACTAAGGTCATAAGAAAAAAGATATATTTCTTAGATAAAAATATTACAGATAAGCTTACAAAACAAATAGAATGGCGAGTCAAGCTTCTGGAAAAGTTTATACTGATAAACAAAAAAAAACAGGTTTGGATTAACAGTTAACGACTGGTTGTGAATAAGGTCATCCGCATACCTATGAATGACGCTTGAGTAATGATATCAGCATTTCTGTAATGTAATGGAATCAAATATAGGTAAAACGTGAGATAGGTACTCCTATGGTATTGTCCATGTTTACAATCATAATGTACTTTTAATAAATTAACTCCGCACATTTTGAATTATCTAGCGCTTGATTATTTATTTATATCAAATTGAAAATAATTTAATACAAGTTAATTCTTAGGTAAGTAATTAATAC